GACCCCAAGAAATGTGCCCGGCTTTTGGCTCCTTTGTGCCTAGGAAGCAGGAATAGCCAGTGAGGTCCTGTTGCTTCCTGCTGCCTGTGTCTTATTTTCCATCTTTTGGGGCTGTGTGGAGGCAGGGAATGTGTAGATTAATCCAAGTTATTGGTAGTGACAGGTGCCTGTTGTTACCTCCGTTCTTGTGTTTCATCATACCAAAGTTTTTGAGAAGGAATCATGGTTCTCCAGCCCTCAGCAGCGAGAGCGTGTGTTTAATGCTTTCATCATGTAGCCTTTTGTCATCTGAGTGCCTCTTGCTGACCTTTCTTTTCCTCTCACACAGCTGATATTTTTGACCCGTACGTCCCTCCCGAAGGCGATGCCCGCTTGACCTCTCTATCTAAAGATGGGCTGAAGCAAAAGATGGAGAAGCTCAGGCAAACTGCTGCCTCGCGGCTGGCGTGAGTACTCACCTTTTAGTTAGCCCAGGCACCTCTGGAGCAGAAGATACTCTCCGTTTGGTCTTCCAGCCCGTGCCTTTGTTTTCCACCTGGTTCTTTCGTTGCTGTTGTTGTATCCCTTCTCTAGGAATTTCTGGTCTGAACAGGAATGCAAGGTGCTCCTAGAATCATAGAATCATAGAATTGGAATTTTTGATGTTTCAGTTTCCGGCCATTTCCTCTAGTCCTATCAGTGGCCACCACTGAAAAGAGACCATCTCCTCCTAGCAATCTGCCCTGGGCCTGTTGCAGTCAACCCCACAGGGTGTTTGTCTTAGGAATACCTAGAGCTTGTCTTTGGGGAGTCTCCAATTCACAGTAAAAGCTGGGCTTGCACTGACTGAGGTTATTGTCCTGATCTGGAACGTGTGAGGAGCTTTCAGTTAGTCCTCTGCTTGCTGTAGAGTTTTTCTTGTCTTTTCAGCCTGCGGAAGGTAAAAAACCATGATCCAAATTTCAGCACTAAAACCTTTCCAGAGAAGGCACAGGAGATATTCACTGAAGCTCACAATTCCCTGGCAAAGTAAGACCTGTTCTCTGCCCGCTGTGGTTATGCAGTACACAGTTCTCTTTGCCTGTGTGCCGCTGCTGTTTGTTGTTTTGTTTTGTATTTCCGATACCTGTACCCTGTCTCTGACTTTATCTTGCCCTGTTATCTCTTCCCTGAAGAGGAGATAGTGTTAGAGATTGGGTTAGTACTCGCTGTGATAATGAAAGGCAAGATATGGGACATCCATCTTGTCCTGGCTTGTAAAGGGGACGAGCTTCTCGCACCCTCAGTGCTATCAGCAGAGCAGTGGGTGGTTGGTCCTGTTCCAAATTGCTCCGCAGGGGGTCTGGATCTGCTGTGGTGCCTCACTGACTTGCTCCACTTCGCAGTAATCAAACAGCTTTCAAAACTGCACCTTGCTTACAATTCCAAACACCAATAAAACATTTGGGTCATAACTGGCTTCCCAAGGATATTGTCATATCTCTTCCTGAGGTCTTGTCAGCCTGTTTGCTTTTTTTTTTTTTTTTTTTCTCTGAGATAACAACTGAGAATTTAGCTCTTTCTGTCTTACAAATGGATCGTGTGCCTTCTGGACAACTTTGTGAGTAAGCCTCTTTCTGATATGTGTATTCGAGCAACTGGGTGTGTTTCTCTTGCAGTTTTAACAAGCAGAAACTTCACTCCTTGGTGACAGAGCGCTGCTACTCGGTAAATATTTACCTGGATGTTAGAGTGGGGAAGCAATGCACAAGTCTGAGAAATAGCTAATGAATAGGTGCCTCGTTATAGGCAGTAGTTTGCTCTTCATTCAATGCAACCCTCTAAGTCGCAGCTTTATTTTTCCTTTGTAGGAGATGGTCCGTGGAAACAGGTATAAGACCATCCGGTGGAGCTTTATAGAGTCGCTGGAACCTCCCAGGGTGGTTCATGTCCGATGTCACAGCATGGTGAACGAGGACAACCTGTACGGGCAGGTGACGGTGCGCATGCACACGCGACAGGTACGTGCCCTCGTGCCCCTTGCGGCGCCTGCCCGCCCTCAGCCCGACACGTTTCTTGCCCCTGTTTGTAGACTCTGGCCATCTACGACCGCTTTGGGCGGCTGATGTACGGTGGGGAGCAGGTGCCCAAGGACGTTTTGGAGTATGTTGTGTTCGAGAGGCACTTGGTCAACGTGTACGGCACGTGGAGGATGCACGGCAAGATCGTTCCGGCGTGGGCGCCACCAAAGGACCCTATTATCAAGGTACTGCTGCCACGAACTGCTGTGAAACAAAGGTCCCTAGTTAATTCTGGACAAAACCACACATGTGCTTCTGCTATTGGGGTGGTGGTAGCTTCCTCTGCAAGGAGCTGCTTATTAACGTGGGGTTATCAGCCCCCAACCGCCCTCACCTTGGCTGTTGTGTGTTATAACCACCAGGCACTAGACTGGAGGAGGTCTTTGCCAGTCAAGTGCCTCTGTTCTAGCTATGAGCAATAGCTTCTCTGCTGCTTCTGGAGGTCTTGTGCCCCCGGGTGTAGCTATACCTCACTGCATCCAGATGTTGGATGTTGTCCAGGGGCTCCTGTAGTACCAAGGAAAGCCTGATGTGGGCAATGAATGTGGAGCTGCTGGTGCCATGCAGAAGAGATGTCCTCGTGGCTTGTGAGACGTGGGTTCTCCTCTAAACTACACATCAAGTTCAAATTTAAGCAGGTCGATTTCCTCCTTTGCCCTAATTTGCAGGGGTAACTAGGGACTTAAGTCTGTAGGGTGGTTGAAGTCTTTATGTGGAAAACATGGAATATACTTGGTTTACAATAACCTGGAAGATGTAATAAAATCCTGGGGTTGTTTGGCATGTATGTGGTAAATTCTGGGGTTATTGCTCCCTGTGCTTCACCTGACAAATTGGTGCTGCTGTCCCGTTTTCCTGTGATACTAAAAGCACATCCAGGAGAGGAAAGAGCTGAGAACTGTAGTACTGGTACCAGAGATGTCATCCCATTTCTTCCCATGCTGCTGCCATCTGGCCATCTACCTGTGCAAGACTTTGATGTTGCCAGAACCCCCTGCTCACCCTTTCCCTTGCTGTGTAACACACGAGAGTTTCCTGATGCACAAGAGTTTCCTGCTACAGCCGCTCAGAGCTGTTCGGTGTCCTCTCTGTCATGCTAATGCCATGTCTTGCTTTTTCAGACGGTGATGATTCCTGGCCCAGTTTTGAAACCCTCACAAGAGTATGAAGAAATCAAACGGGAAACTCCAGAGCCTGTGCAGATGCAATGATACAAACAACCCTGGAGGGAAGAAGTGGAGTATGTTGGGGGTTGCATGTTGGACATAGCTGTGCTTTTCCAGTGGGCAAATCAACAAGCAGAGTGTCTTCGGGAATGGACTTTAGCCGCTTAGGAGTTGCCTTCACAGCAGCAAGAGGGGCTTGGGAGGGGAATTCAAATGAGCCACGAGAGGAGCTCGTCCCTGTTCATGTAGACTTGGTGTGCAACCCCTCGTGTTCCTGTGAACACCAGGACACTGTTGTCCTCAGGACTGCTCTCTAGGAAGCATCCTGAGAGCCACTGGCAGCAGGAGGGACCTTAACCAAGGGATACTGGGCACCTTCATGGGAAGTGCCGTAGACCTGATGGGCTTCTGTTAAAATTCGGAGCGGTACATGTTGGTGCTCTGTTTTCTAATCCTCTCCCTTGGCCTCTACACTGCTTACCTGTGTATTTTTTCCCTCTCTTTAACAGAAAACAGGGAAGCGTAGTACGCATACTTGGAATCAAATTCTCCCGAGTGGGTGCTGCGATTGGACTGTGGATGTTTGTTAATCGCTAGCTGCCTGAAGGGACTGAAGCACAGCACTGAAAAATTAATAAAATTGACTCCTGAGGTCTATGATTGTGTCAGTTAATGTCTGCTGGAAAGGCAGCGTCTCTCTCAGGTCATGGGTTTGGGTGTATTTGCTGCAGATGCTCCTGAGCTCCCTAGCAGGATGTTGTTAGTGAGCAGATGGCACCATCCTGTGGACACGATGACATTCACATCATGTTCTCTGAATTTTTTGGGGTTGTGTGAGTCCAGAAAGTGCTTACTCAGAGGCTACTTCTGCCTTTTTCCATGGCTAGGGGTAAGCCAGTGCGCTGCTTTTGCTCAGAAAATCTATTTTTGTTCAGATAAGCTCAATTTACTTCTATTTACAGAGCAAATATTCACTAGTTATCAAACAACAAAGCATTCCTTTTCCAACCTAGTCTTTCTTTTTAATTTACCCTGGTTTTTGGAAAACAGTCAAGCCTATTTTTTTATCTTCTCCCTTGAAAGAGATTTTATAGACCATGCAGTAAGACTTATGACTCCTTACACTTGCGGAGTTGCTCAGGGTTTCTTGTGAATGATGTTCTTTTGAAAGGGCAAAATACCCTTTCTACGCGCTGTTAGAAGAGGAGCCAGCAGTGGAATCCCTTTCATGTTTTTGGAAACCAGAGGGATGTCACAATCTGTCTGCCTTTCAAAAAAGAACCTTCTATATTGGGCCTTCTGCCTACGCTCCACATGGGTGCTGCAGCACTGAATCACTTCTTGCTTCCAGCACATGAGCTGGGCTAGGAGCTAAAATAAATTAATGGTAGGTGCCTCGTTTGGCTCTGGTGCGACTAAGGCCGCTAGCAGGTATGGATGTGACTCCAGAACCAAGATCTGTAAAATATAAACAAAGTTCTTCACAAAAAGGGGCTGCTTTGTGGTGGAATGGCAGCCTTCCTGGGAAAATGGGCTTTTCTTTAAGTCTATTGGTACATAGATCTCCATCTCCTCTGCCAGTATTCAGATCTCTGCAACTCACCCACTTTTATTGCTCTTGTTTCTTACTGAGGAACCACTTCCTTAACCATATTTGGTGCCTTACCTGCACCCTATGAATCAGGCAATCACTGTGCACACTCTAGATAATGTTCTTTATTCTCTGTATTTACACTTTTTACACAAGTGGATGGTGGTCTTTGACATTCAGTGCTGAAGATCACAGCAACACCAGTTCCTAAGGACAGAAGGACAGTGGGGCAAACTCCGAGTACCTGTCCCTGGGGGTCAGGGACCTGAAACACCCACTTCTGCTGTTCTTCTTATGCCTGTGAAGCCCCCTGTTTGCCTGGTTGCTCTTTTACAGTGAGGGAAACTGTTCAGCTTTGAGTGAAGGGAGCAAAAACCTGTCTTGGGGCTGATTGAAACAGAGGCTTTTGACCCCCAAGCTTCAGAACCCGTTCTGGATGTGCCTGCAGAAATGGTCCTGGTTTCAAGCGGACACAAGGGCAGTGCTGGAGCAGGAACAGGGAGAGCCAGTTTCCTCCCTTGCCCGTCGCGTGGTTGCTGCCCTGATTTGACTCTTCCCCGGTCTCCATGGGCTGGTGATGGGGAAGGTGATGCCCAAGCCCAAGGCCCGGTCGCTTCCCTGCTGCCTACGGGGCTGCAGCGTTTTCTCTGTGCATCTTCTGCCCTCAGCTGCTCACTGACATCAGTGGCTCTTTGAGGGAAAGAAGTGACATTTTATGGCATGTTTTGGTCCCCAAGGAACTGCTATCCCAAGGCAGACAGAGCAGCAATAAATCAGCACGAGACCCAAGTCCCTTGCTGTTCAGTGGGGTGGCACAGTGTTTACCTGGAGAGGGAGATGAGCTGGGTGGCTTGGGAAACAGGAGGAATTCCTTTGTAGCCAGAGCAGGGAGCATGGTGACATTCGGGCACAAGGCTCCTCAATCTTGGTGGCCGGGTGGGCGGCTGTGCTGCTCGGAGCAGGATGATGCCCGGGGTATCTGCTAGCGTGGATGGATGTATCTGCTGGGGACCACGTTCCCGCATGGAAGGAGGCTGCTCCGTGCTCGTGGGCCAGTGTTTGCAGCCACCTTTGCCTCTGCTGCGTCGCTGGGAGACACAGACGGAAGCCGGGAAGGAGTTCAAGTGGATTTTGGCCAGAGATCTCTTCTTTTCCTACTCGTGGTCCCATGGGCAGATGTCTGGGGTGGTCCGGGCCGCGCTGCCTCCGTCCCTGGGGCTCTCCCTGGTTCCGTCCTGCCCGCGGCGGCTCGGGATGGGCTCCGTGCCCTCCGTCTCCCGCGGAACCGCTGCCGAGGGGCTGCTGGGCTGCCCGGGGGCTGCGGGAGCCGCTTCTGCTTCCCAGGGACAAACCTCGGCGACGCTGGCCCCGGCGGGG